GGATGCTGTAAATCAAGAACAAAAACAAAGTTGCTGGAAAAGCTCAGCAGGTCTGGCAGCAGCTGTGAAGGGAAAGACAGAGTTAACGTTTCGGATCCGGTTCCGAGGAAGGGTCACCGGACCCGAAACGTTAACTCTGTCTTTTCCTTCACAGATGCTGCCAGACCTGCTGAGCTTTTCCAGCAACTTTATTTTTGTTCTTGATTTACAGCATCCACAGTGCTTTCGGTTTTTATTAAGCTTATGAAGAAGTTTGATTGCAGAAGTGATCCAGTATGGATCTGAAACTCATTTTTATTAATGTTGGTAACTTGATCAGAAGCAGTGATGAATAAATCAACAGCGGGGATTACAGACATCATTAATTGCACTCTCAGCTGCATTGGCCACAGACAGTGTTTAGCACTGACACCTGCTGTCCCAGAAAGAGATCTGTGTGGCGTAGGTTGTGGGGCAGGAATATGTGCAGAATTGGGTTTGGGGTTGGGGGGAGGTACAGGATCAGTTTACAGGGCAAGACAACCCCTGGACTACAGGAGAGGAGCCGAAGTCTGTCACATAATGACTCGGATCTTTCACCATGGATTACAATTGCAGCAGAGCTACAATTTAGTAACCTGCAGCATCTGTTAAGGTTGACTAGAGATTGCCTCCAGCTTCAGGTATCTTCTGCTGCTCTCTGCTGCCCCAATATGGTCATAGCTAAACCAACATCAGTAATATTTAAGGCATTTGAAGCAAAGAATGACAAGGCGTTCTGGGGAGAAGGTGGGCAGTAAGATTAGTTTGGCATTATGTGAAAAGTTAGCAGAGAGCTGAATGGCTTCCGTCTGTATTGTCATTGACCATGGCTCTAGGCCAGGTTCTTTCCATAGGAACTGCAAGGATCAACATTTAGATCCAATTGTCAGACTTGCTTCCACTCAGCTGGAAGGCCCTACCTTCAGATAGTGAGGAGCTTGGTCATCTTGAATTGTGGTGTGCACCCAACATGGGACGAATAACCGAACCACAGAGAGGGTTCCTTAATTTGATATTTCTAGAGCTTTTCATCTCAAATTATGATTTCACTGGAAATAGAAAGTGAAGGAAAATTTTTCCTGCCTTTGTTTAAATAAAAATGTGATACGAAGCATGAAATACCTTGTATTGATATAAATCCTGATCCTGCTTTAGGACGTTGCAAAGTACTTCAAACTGGTGGATTACTTTTTGAAGTGCAGTCACCCTGCACACTGGAGGAATCCAATAACAGGTGAATGGTTTTCATGGTGACATTGGTTGGGAGGAACCGAAGTTGGGGGAACCACCCACCACCCCCCAACCCCCAGTTTCTCACAGTACAGCACTCCCTTAGTACTATAATGAGGCAGAAAGGCAATTTTTAACCTGTGCCAAGCAAAATTGAAACAGTTTGTGTATAATGGTGACAAAAAAACGATTATTCCTGGAAAGCTGAGGTAAGTTAGCTAATGCTCATTTAACTTTCTTGTCTATAACTGACTGCAATGAAAATGGAACTGTTGTTGAACTGAAGGACACAGCCACATACGTGGTCTATTCTGTGCAGGATAAAGATTGGCAAACAGACCATGGGTAAGAGGCAAGGATTACAGCGAGTACCACCCTCCCCTCAGAACCACTGTGCCTCACATGTCATTGTACATGTTTTTAGATCATATAGACAAATCATTCATTAGAACATCCAACACTCTGTATACAAGGTTTACACCAGGGCCAATTCACTCTTAGGGTGATATGGAAGAGAGAGAGAGAGAGAAAGAGAGAGAGAGAGAGAGAGAGAGAGAAAGA